TCTGCCTTCCCAGGCGCAAAAGGCCCCAGAGGCAGTGCACAGCCAGGAGGACTTTGTTCCCTGTTAGCGTGTCCCCCAAGACTCCTCAGCTGGAGTCTCTGCCTGAGACCCGTTCCAGGAGCTGGGGCAAGGGGCCCTCCCCGCTGGCCTTCCCAGGGCCCCCCCGAGAGTGCTGCTGGAGCCCTGGCCTCTGCGCGGCCAGTCTGCCTGCGCCTCTGCTCCTGTGTGCAGGGCTGCGTGCGCGTGCTGAGGCGGGCGAGCCGCGCAGGGGACTTGGGCAGAGGCACGCCAGGGTGAGCGGCTTTGCCTGGCCACACGCTGGTCAGGCTGTGCCGGGTGCTGGGCGGCCCGACTCCTGAACAGCTGGCTGTTCACTGGGGGCCTCAGTCACCAGCAGCGCCTTGACCGGACGCCTGTGTCCTTCAAGACACCGAGTCCTGAGGCGACATGCCTGGAGAGGTCACACCCGCGCGGCTCCTGCTGACAGAGCGGGCACGCGCCATCTCCCCTCGCAGGGATGTCTCCCCTCGCGGAGCCGTCTTCCCTCGCCTACTGTCTTTGCTCTGACACAGTAAGATGCTGCTGCGCCCGGGGAGGCTGCGCCCTGGCAAGGCCAGGGTCAGGTGTGGCCTTTTACGCGACGCCATCTCCAGAAGTTCCCAGTGCAAGTGAAGTGGGCGGAAGGGAATTTCCTGCCCCGTTTAGCAGAAGGCCCACAGCCTTCGCAGTAGCCCCATGGTGACGCGGCCGTCGGGTGAGTGGAGCCCGGAGCTGGACATGTGCGCCCGGCGGCCTCTGTGGCAGGGTGTGTCTGACCGTGGCCCGTACCGCAGTGGCGACTTGATGGCCGGTGGCTGGCCTGGTCTCCCGCCACACCCCCACCCCCAGGAGATCGGGCCGTGTATCCCTCTGCCTTTCGTTACTGGGTGTTCAGTTTGATTGAAGTCTCTTCTATGTGTGGAGGCCTTTTAAAATTTCAATAATAAAAACTGGTTAAATAGCACCACAGAGCCTCCCTGGTGGTGCAGGGGTGAGTCTCGGCATGAAGCCATCCAGCCCCTGCGGCCTGAGTCCATCCCCGCCAGGGAGTGACCCACAGAGCACGGCAGACCCCTCCTGTCCCCGCTGCCCCTCAGCAGTGCAGTGGGCTTCAGGGGACCCGCCTGTCTACTCCCCACTCTGCCTCTGGGGCGTCCTCAGCCCTTTCCCCACATCTCTGGCCTTCACCTCAGTTCCCATACACGTACATAAATAAATTCTTAAAGAAAGACACATCGCATAAAACTGACCATTTTCACTCAGTTTCCTAGAACCTTCCAGAGAAATCAGTCCCAGGATTCTGAAAAAACGAGGAGAAATTTTCATTCACAGAACAAGCCTGCTGCCCGCGTCGGGCAGTGGCGCCGTCGGCTGCTTCCTGGCAGCCGAGGTCCTGAGCAGCTGCCCTCTCGTCCTCTAGGTGGCCGCCAGACCCAGGAGCAGAGGGCGCAGAGGAGCGTGGCCAGTGCGCCCGGGGAGAAGCGCCCTGAAAACGGGGTGAGTGTGAGCGGCTCTTTCCATACTTAAAATTCTTCTTATAGGTAGTTTGGGTTTTGGCTTGTCAGAAGCCTGCTGGCAGCCTTGGCCCGCACCGGTGGGTGGACGGGGTTTCCCTGCCGCCCCGCTACCTGAGCGCTGCCTCGGCGCGGCCCGCACTGTGCACTGAGTTGAGGCCCCGGCCCAGCGCCCACACTCGGTGTTTCCTGGCGCCGTCCAGTCCTGGCAGCCGCCGGGCGTGTCAAGGTTCTGGGTTCTCACTGCTCACCTGGCGCGTCCCAGAGACGCTTCGCACAATGCCCTCCCGCTGCCGCATGGGCTGGCCTGGGCCTGGCGCCTTGGGCCGCCGCACGCGTTTCGGGAAGGCCTCGTGTGGGGCTGCTGAGGGTCCTTGCGTTTTAAGATTTCTGGGAACCAGGCGGGAAGGGAGGTGGCTCATGGTGCCGTGCGCAGCCTCAGGCGGGCTCTGGCCCGGTGCCGTCCACAGGCCTGTGGGTCTTTGTGATGAGCCCGGTTCTGGCCTACAGGGCGCTAATGTCTGTGCTTCAGGACGGCACAACTGGAACTTGAAACCAATATAGAAACGTGTGGGTCTGTGAGGGGAGGGCCGCCGATGCCCTGCAGCTGTCCCCACGCCCTCCCTGCACAGCACGGTGGCCCCATCGGGCGTCCTCCACGGGTGGCTGCACGGGATGGGGGCTCCGGCTCAGAGCTGGACACGCCGCCTGCACGCCCTGTCAGCCGGCGGGGCAGGGGCCCTCAACACAAGGCCCTGACTGCATTTCACACAGGTTCTGTCAGAGTTCTTTGGGCGCATTTCCTGGGAGGGTCACATTATCCTTGACAGTCTAGTCATTCTTTCAGAAGGTGCTGTGGGTTTTTTTTTTTAAAGATTTATTTATTCATACAGAACTGGGGTACAGGCCAGAGATGGGGAGGGTGAGAGGCTTCACCAGAGACAGAGCGGGGAGCAGAACAGGCAGATCGACGAAATCCACTGCTGAGGGGAGCAGCGGGCGGGTCAGGAGAGGTCTGCCGCGCCATGTGGTCACCTCCGGGGCAGGCGGGGATCGAACTCATGCGGAAGCGGCTTAAGCTTCTTAGTGCTGTGCTTTAACCCGCTGCGCCACCAGGGAGGGCCTAGGTGCCATGGTTTTTAAGAAATACCTGGAATGACTGAATTGTGGGAGGGTCTGGGCTGTCTGCCCGATTCTTCTCCCGTGCCCTGAGCCCCTCCCAAGAAGGTGTGATGTGCAGCCCAAGGCCTCTGGGGCAGGGGTCAGCTGCCGCCTGGCCGCGCTACCTTCACCAGGCAGGGGGCTTTGGGAAGAGCATGTGGGGGCAGTGGCTGGTTCTTGCCATGCTGGCAGATGACCATGGGCTGCTGAGGCCGCTGTGCTCGACGCCATGAAGCTGCCAGGTGCTGTCCAGTAGTGCCCCTCCCACGCCACACCAGAGACAGGGTCTGGTGCTGCCTCATAGCCTGGTACACATTGGGGTGTGGGGGAGGGGCCAGTGCCCGCACCCACAGTGGTTGCCGTCCCCCGCAACTGCGCCAGCGTCCCCAGCTGCTGCTCCCCAGCCAGTGACCTCTGACCTGCCCTGGGTGGGACCCCACCCCACCCCACCCCACCGCCAGGCTGCCCAGCCCCATGACGCCCACACTAGGGTGCCCAGCCGCCCGCCAGCCCAGCTCTACCATGGGTGAGGCGCAAGGTGGCTGAGGAGGAGCTGCGGCTCCTGTGGCCTGGCGATGGCCTGCAGCAGCTCTGAGCACTGCGGTCCGCTCTCTGTGTGGGCCAGAGGCCCGCTTGTCCTCCGCCTTCCAGGTGGGTCTCCTTCTCGTGCTGGCAGCTGGCTGAGGGGGCGCGTTCCGCCCCCAGGAGGAATGTCCATGGCCCACATCCGCCTCCCTGTCCGTCGCGGGACAGGGCCTCTGCGGCTCGTCCAGACACAGTCCAGGGAGGTATGTGTGGACACGTGGGACCCTCCCCTCCCAGAGGCTGTCACCAGGCTTCCGTGGTGCCCAGAGCGTCTGCCTGGGCCCTGCCCCGGGAGTGCCCAGGGCCTCACTGACTTCCATGCACCCAGGGCTGAGGAGGCCTGGCAATGGCGCCTGGGGGCCAAGCGGTGCCCTCCGCCTTCTCCTCCAGGTAGTTCTGGCCGGCTTGTTTGAGTCTGGCTGGCCACAGGCTGTCTGGGAGCCAGGTACTCGCTGAGGGCTGCTGCAGGCCACTCAGCGCTGGAGGCCACGTGGCGCTCCATGTGCGGGTGACATGCAGGGGTGGGCAGCTAGGGCGGGCGCCAGGGGCGGGCTTGCTGGTGGGTCTGCAAGGAGGTCAGGGACTTGTGCAGAGGCGCCAGGCATGCTGGGGACAGCAGGACTGGTGGGCGGGTGGTGGGCATGGCCGCGGCCTCCTGTGCTGTCTCCTGGGGCCCGGCAGGAGAACAGGGCTCCACTGGGGCTCGTGAGCCCCTCTGTGGGGAGGCCAGGTGGGAGACGTGGGGTGTCGCCAGCCTCACCCTGGCTCCCCAGGAGAGCCCAGCCGCTCTCCTGGTTATTGTCAAAGGCTTAAAACTTCTAGGGTGATGAACTGTACACCCAAAAGGCGCGCAGCCACCTGAGTTGCAGTTTAGGAGAAATGTGGCTCCGTGAGGTGGTACGGCCACACGTTACCAGTGGTAGGCAGGAGGAGCTTTCCCTAGAGAAATCTTGAGTGCTTCGTGTAGCTGAACCAAGGTTTTAGCCAAGAGACTGCTTTGAAAATAACCTCAAAGAAAATGACCAAGCCTGAGCGTTCGAAGGGCACCTACTCCCGCCTCGAGTCCACGCCGTCTCCGGGGCATTCTCCAGGGATGGGGCGGGGCTGCACCGAGAGGGGGAGCCCACCTGGGCAGGGGCCACCTGCCTGTCTCGCAGGCCCCCGATGGGCCCCGCCCCTGCGGCCGACCCTGCTCAGCACGCGGCTGTCTCCAGCCTGGGCCTTTTCAGGCGGCCCCTGCGCTGTGACATTGGCTGCGTGAGTGGCTGCTGTGACCATTTAAATCTACACAAGCAGCGTTTCCACGTCACTGAGCCTAACACCGACTCAGTAAACGGGGAGCGGCCTCACCGCTGCCTGGGCCTCTGCCAGCCAACCGTGGTCAGGACCCGGGACAGGACCTGGCGCTGCCCTGGGCCCGGCACAGCCAGGCCGCGCTGCTGAGGCTGGAGGCCCGGCCTCGGGGGGAGACGGGGCCACTCGGGTGGGTGAGCATGGCCACTGCGCGTGGGCGGGGCCGTGCCGGGCTGCCCGCAGCGCCCGTCCCCGAAAGTGAATCAGCATCCTGCGCTGCGGGACGACAGTGGGAGGCTCCTTGGAGGGGTGGAAGCGGCAGGAGGCGGAGGCCTGTAGCGTCTTGGGGCGGGACCTGCAGGAGGGCGCTGGCTCCGCTGAGGAGCCCGCCGCAAGCACCAGACCCTGTCCAGCAGCTGCGGGCCGTGAGTCGCCGAAGGCCGAGGCGGCAGTGCGCTTCTGGGACGTCTGGACGGCGGGGAGGCCGGCAGCAAGGAGAGGCCGGTGGCGGTGCTAGGCCGCCCGGCCCGGCAGCTGGTCATGGGTCCGGGCAGAGGGCGGGAGCCTGGGCCTCGGCATCTCCATGACCCTTACTGCTGAGTGGGCCGCGCACACACCCCAGGCCCAGGGGCCCCGCCCAGCTCTGGCCCGGTCACAGCCACTGGAAGGGACACAGCCTGGGGTTCAAGACAGCGGGGTAGCTGCAGAGGCCCGTGGCAGGGACCAGGAAAGCCACCCCGTTTCCCTGCAGGCCTCAAGTGGAGACGTGAGCCTGACCACTGCCCGTGGCTCGTGCCTCTGGAGAGGGTGGGTGGCTGGGCGCCGTGGGGCAGGACACGAAGTCCTGCCCTTATCTAGCTGGACCCGGACTCCAGGGAGGCGCAGTGGCCTGGTCTTCTTCAGCCAGAGTGGGTCACTTGGTGAGTGTTCAGGTCAGCACTTTGGGAGCCAGGCTGGCGAGCAGGCCAGGTGTTCAGCCTTGGCCAGGTGTTCAGCCACAGGCAGGACCCACTCACTCTTCTCCCGCCGGCTCCTGGAGTGGGGTGGTGCCTTGAGGGCCTGAGAGCCAGACCCTGCTGCGTGTGCATGTGGCGCGCCTCCCCGCCCCGCGGCTGACCGCGCCCTGGGAATGATGGCCAAACACCTGCAAGGCACAGCTGGCTGTGGAGGGGTCTTCACGGGGTTTCCCCTGGGCAGTGGGGGCCAGGTGCACCTCCCTTCAGGAGATGCCAGCTCCTTCCTGGGGCTCAGCCCTGGCCTCTAAGGTGGACTGGGGAGGGCGTGGGCCAGGGGTGCTGAGGCTGGTCAGGAGGAGGCTGCCCCTCCCTGGCATCATCCTTTGGGGCTTGCTGGGGGCTGGGGGGAACCCAGCACTCCCATGGGGGGCCCCTCAACTGGCAGCTGTGAGCGGAAGCCCCTCCTCGGGCCCTGATCCTCCCTCCAGCACCGACTGGGCCGTGTGTGCAAGCCCCCTGGGGTCAGATCCCTGCAGCCCCGGCTACCTGACCTGCCTGTGGGGACTCCCCGGCGGGACCTCCCCAGGCCAGCCCAGAACTGGGAGCACGTGGGCATTTGCTGCTGGTGGGGACGCGGCCTGTGGTGACCGTGGTGGAGCTGCCTGTGTGGCACAGCACAGGTGGGCATGGGGGAGGCCGGCTCGGAGGCCATGCCCACAGGCGCAGGACACACGCTTTCGCGGTGAGCCCCCCCCACTGTGAGGGCCGTGCCTGCAGCTGGTAGGAGGCGCCGGCCCAGGGAGGGTCTGTCCACATCTAACTGGACAGCCGTGGGCTGGGGTGGTCACTCAAGATCTGGTCATCGTGCGCTTGGGCTTGACAGTTTAATTAGGGATATTTTTATGCTTGCTTTTTATTACTGACCAAAATGCCATTTATAGGGAATCTTTGCCCAGAGGCTTTTTATTTAACAAGAGGAACACTGAAATTTAAACTTGGCAACGGCACGTGTTGGCTGGTTCGCTGCCGGCGGGGCACGAGGCCCTCCGGGGAGGGGGGCAGTCTCTGCAGCGGCGCGCGCCGTCCACCCGCCACCTCGCCCGGTTACCCGTGAGCAGCCGGCGCGCTGGTCCACACAGCGGCCGACGTGCGTGTCCTGGCTGATGTTTGTCCTCGTCACCAGCGTGGGCATGGCCAGGTGTCCCCGCAGGCGGATGGCTGCCGTCCACTCAGCCTGGCGGCGGAGGCGGGTCTCGACACTGGGGCCTGGAGGGCGCCGCTCCCGTCGGGGCCTCTCTGGGGCGGCACTGAGAAGCGGCTCTGAGCTGGCGCGGAAGGCGGCCCGGCCTCTGGCGTCTCTGTCCCGACTGGAAAGCCATGTTTTGTTTCGTTTGTGGTGAGAATTATGAAATACTATTTTTATTTGGAGTTTCTGTGACAACAGGGACAGAAGTGATGGGGTTCAGGTCTCACTTGGACCCCGTGTTTGGGGGTCAGGTTGCAGGAGCCTGGGATTGTGCTGGGGGGTGGCGTGCGGGCCCCAAGACCCTGCCGTGACCCTGGAGGCCGGCTTGGCGCCCAGCCTGGGGCACTGACTTTATTTCACAAGGAAAACGTGGTGAGCGGAGCTCGGATTCGGTTCTCAGGCCGGAATTTGATGGGTGGATTGGGGGGCTTCAGCCAGCCAGGGCTACAGGCCCGAGATGGTGGGTGGGGGCCCTGGGGCGAGGTCGGCTCCCCACGGAGGAAGTGGGCGCCTGCCGCTCGGCTATTGGCGGGCCGCGGGCGGCGGGGCTGCTGCCCCTGCCAGAGCGCGCTCTCTGGGCAGCCGCCAGTGCCGCCGGCCGGTGCCCGGAGCTCGCCTGTCCGTGCTGCGGAGAGAAGCCGGCCCGCGGCGTGGGCTTGCTGGGAGGGAAGGAGCCGGCGCCGCCGTGCCAGGGCCTGACTGCACCTGGGGCGGTGCTGCCCCCCCTGAGAGGCGCGGCGCGGGCGCTGCGGGCTGACTGGCGTGCGGGCAGACGCTTTTGCGGCTTATTTTAAACGAAACTGACTTTAACCCGCTGGAATGGTTGCTGCCCTGTCGTCTGCCGCCGGGCCTGCAGGGGCCTGCAGGTGCCTCTGGGCGAGGCCCAGCGAGTGGGCGTGGACCCGGCGGCCTGCGCCCTCTGCCCTCCGTGCGACGCGCCGGGAAGCCAGAGGTTTTGCCCAGAGGTTTTGCCTTTTTTCCCTTCAAGTTACAAAACTATGGAGTGGACGTAAACGAATGACTTGCACTGAACTGGCCTTTTTATCGAGCAGGTGTAAGAAGTGAAGGCTCTGAAGGCCTCGGCCCGCCTGAGGGCTCCGGGAAAGGTCCGGCTGATGCTGGCTGGTGCAAGGGCGCGTCCGGGCACGTTGGCAGCTCTGGTGGCCTGAGCAGGCTTCCACGTGCGACCTGTCACTTTCAAAAGGGGGGGCTGCCTCTGTTCCCGGGACCCCAGGCGAGACGCAGGCTGCGGAACAAACCACGGCGAGTCCAGGCGGTGCTGTGGGCCCGCCCGGGGCCGGCAGGGTCAGGCACCCGGGGTGGGGCGTCCTGAGCCACAGCCTCGCGCCCGAGCGCCCGGCCTCCCAGACACGCCCCAGCCACTGCAGCCGCCCGGGCAGCGGGCCGCAGCAGGCAGGAGCCCCAGAGCTGTCTGCAGCCCGGTGGTGCCCGCGGGAGGCCTGTGATTGTGGCTGCACACACGCCCCGGGGCCAGGCCCTGCCTGGGGCAGGGAGAGGAGAAGAGGGGGACAGTGACCGCTGGACCTGGTCATCGAGAGCCCCCCAGGCTGAGCTGCTATTTGCAGCCGAGGCCGCCCTGCTCAGAGTGCCTCCCTCGCCTGGCTGCTGCTGTGCTGCAGGGCAGCTGGTGCCCAGCCCCCCCCCCCCATGGCCATCCTCACCCTGCAGTACCTCAGTGCTCAGCTGCTGAGAGGTGGGGGCCGGCCAGGAGGAAGAGTGTGGGCTCCCACAACTCAGCACAGCAGGCCGCTGAGGCCCTGATGCTCAGGAGTGACCCTTGGGCACCCTCACCAGCAGCAGTGTCCGGCTGTCTGAGTGGTACAAAAAGGGCAGAAGCCACGGGCCTCCGGGGGCCCAGGGGTCAGTTCGGGCGGTCACCACTGCAGCCTGAGTGTGACCCCCGGCCAGGGAATGACTCACAGGCCGCCCCCCCGCTGCTCCCCTCCACAGTGGGTTTCATTGGATCTACCTGTGTGCTCCCTACTCTGTCCCTGGGAGTCCTCACCTCCTGCACCTCGGGCCTGACCCCAGTTCTCAGTGTCGATTAAATAAATGGTTAGAAGCGAACAAGGCAGGGGCTGTGAAGGAGCAGGGCCTACAGGCTCGGGCAGGAAGCCCAGGTGCCAGCTTCTGGCCAGTCTGTTAACGAAGGAAAAGCCCTGTTGCAATCCATAACAACTGAAAATGAAGAGATAAAAGAACACCCCGCAGACGCTGGAGCAGAAGCCCTAAAGCCCTGCAGGACTCGGCATGTGCCCAAGAGGTGCAGAGCACCTCGGTCAGGACCGAGCCGGGCACCCGCGGCCCGTGCGTTGCGGCAGAGGCAGTGGCAAGAAAGCCGGAGCCTGTGACCAAGGACCCAGGCACGGCGGCCGCAGGACCGTGGCAGTGGGCACGCCTGGTGACCGCGAGACCGGCCTGGCGCCCACACGTCTGCTGAGCAGAGCCCCTGTGCCAGGCCGCCCTCGGGCCCTCCAGGACAACGACCGGCCTCGTCCAGGCCCGCCCCAGGGCTGCCCCGTCACCTGGACGTGCGGCCGGCCGTGGGCGCTGCCTGGGGACTGTACCGCAGTCTGTCTCGTCTGGTGGGCCAGGGCCTCAGAAGCCAGCGGCTGTCGCTGGACGCCTGACCTTCGGTGTCACCAGCACACTCAGCCGCTAGGCTGCGAGCGTTTGCCCACTCAGCCCCGAGAGCCTGGCCGTGGCAGATCCCATCCTCGAAGCTCGCGCCGGCCGCGGCGAGGCGGGCGCCTGTCCTCGGGTGTGGGCGCAAGTGCGCCCGACCCAGAGAAGCCTCGGCAAGGGAAGCCCCGAGAGGCGGCGGAGGGCCGCGGCCCTGCAGGTGACACGGCGTGTCTCCCGCAGGTGGGCAGCCCTCGGGTCGAGCTCACCCTCGCCGAGCTCCAGGACATGGCAGCGCGGCAGCAGCAGCAAATCGAGAACCAGCAGCAGATGCTGGTTGCCAAGGTGAGTCACGATAGCAGAGCTGGGGAGCCTTCAGCAGAGGGGCGCTAGCACCCCCACTGATTGGGCCAGCGGTGTGGCGCCTGCAGTGGGAGCCCCCGGGGCGCCTGGTGTGGCCGCGCGAGGGTGGACACGCGTTGGCGTCTGACGTTGAGAAGGCATCTGACCCTTGCCGTGCACCCCGTGACACCCCAGAACAGGAAGGGAAGGGGTGCCCACTTCCGGGAGGAGCTGGCCCTGTGCCCGGAGCTGAGGCTGGAGGGGGCCGCGGCCCGGGGAGGGGCGAGGGCT